AAAATTAATTAATTTTAATTTTTATTAATTAATAATTAGTAAAAATTAATTAACTTTATATATAATTAGAATAAATTGCTAGTAAAAAATTCAAAAAATCCAAAAAAATATAGAAAACTTTAGTTATTTTTTAAGTTAAAAATAAAAAATATTTGTTAGTAAAATTAAAATTTTTATATATAAGAAAAAATATATATTTTACTAATTATAATTAGTAAAAAATTTAAGTATTACATTATTTTTAATAATTTTAAATAATATTTTAATAAATAAATTAAATCAAAATTAAATTAAACTTGAATTTAAATTGAATTTAAAAATTTAATCAAAATTTAATCAAATTTTTTTAAATTTAATAATTTAAATTTGAATTTAATTATTAAAGTAAATTATATAATATAATAAAATTAATATTTATTAAAATATTTGATATTTAAAAAAATTAAAAATTAAAATATTTTAGTTTTTAATAAATTTTTAATTTTTTAATAATAATTAAATAAAATAACTATAAATAAAATTTAAAATTATAAAATAATTTATAATTAATAATATATATTTATAATAATAATTTATAATTATTTTAATTTTAATTAATTAAGTTAAAATTTAAATATTTTATATTTATAAATAATTCTTATTTAAATTATAATTTTTATTATTATATTTATAATTAATCTTCAATTAATTTAAAAAACTAATAAAATTTATAAAATTAAAAATTATTTTTATATTAAAATAAAATTTATAAAATATTCAAGAAAATTATTTTAATTATAAAATTATTACAAAAATTTTTCTAATTAAATTTTATTTTTAATTAAATTATAAATTATAAATTATAAATTTTATTTTAATATAAAAATAAAAATAAAAATTTTAAATTTTAATATAAAGAAAAAGTTTTAATTTTATTATATTTTATTAATAAAATCAATTTTCTGATTTTATAATTTTACTAATCTATTTAGAATTTAAAAATATTATTTTATAATTTACAAAATATAATAAAATAATTTTATTATAAATTTTTTATTATATAAATTACTTAAATATATAATTTTGATTTAAGATTTAATTATTATACTTATTAAAATTTATCATTATATAATTAGTAATATTAATAAAATTTAAATAATTATATAAATATTACTTAAGTAATAATCTGTAATAATAAAGTATCAAATTATTTAATTATTATTTAATAAAATTAAAAGCTTGAATTTATTGCTGCTATTGAAATCTGTATATCTTACTTATTTAATTAACAATAACAATAGCAATAGCAATATTGGTAATAATTACTTGCAAATTATCACTTAATCATATTATTGATTTATCTCTTATGATCAGGAATTATATATCATGCAGAATTTTGAATTGATAATTAAGCTTTGATAATGGCTTGGCGACAATAGCTTGGCAAAAAATAATCCCTGAATCAAATATCAGAATTTCGAATTAATAATTAAACTCTTGGCAATAGCTTGGCAAAAAAATCCCTATTCTAAATAAATAAGAAGGAATTATTAATGATTCTGTTTAAATTATTTCAATTGTCAAACAACAGCTATAATATTTCCATACCGAAGAAGTAGTTCCAAATGTGTAGGTGAGATTTTCCGAGCACATAATTATTTGGTAAAGTGCATTTGTTAAAACAAAAGTTTTTCGCTATTTTTCAAACATGCAGATGCATTGAGTCAGGGGTTAAACTTTTTGTTATTAGTAAGACTTCCGTATTTTCAAAAGGAGCCAAGTCCATCCAGTTAGTATATTATTAATAATCTTACTATATACAATATATACTCTATTAGATTAAAAACGGATGCGATTAAAATTATCACGAAAATTGCAAAAAACTGAGGGGCGACTCGTTTTCAAAAAGATATCTCTGGTTGAATACGTTTAAAATATCTCTTTCGAAGCAATCAGACCCAAATTATAGTTAAGGGTTAATGCTGGAGAGATACATCAGCGTTAATGTTGGCTGAAATCAAGCACGTGATGCGTACCTGACGCAAATCGTGATCTGAGACCCGGGCCAATTCCGAATTTCTTTATGAACTGTACAACGTTACTTTAAATTATTTCATCTTTATTATCGGCACCGTCCGAAATCACCTAAATCACCTTCAAAGCCAAGTGGATTTGAATTTTATAAAAACAATGAAACGTACAAAAAGAGAGTTTAATTTAACCAAATTTATTATATTTTTGTATGCTATATATGGTGCAGGCAGTACTACAGAAAGTTTGTTATATTAAAGTTGTAAATATATGCTAAAGAAGACAACACGTTCGCGTCAAAAGACTTCGTGTTCAAGACAATCATTGAACAACCCATGCAAGCTCTCGCAACCCCAACAAAGGAAGATATCGGATGGTCGGAATCACATGACTCGTCACTTTTTTTTTCGCCGTGACGAGATACACTTTATTACTAAATCGGTATTTTGTGTTTCTGATAAACAGTCAGTCACACCTTTTCCCCCATTTTCTTAGTGGCTAGAATTTTTCGCCTAGAAACATTCAACGGTAAACATTACCTTCAAAATAACTTTCAAAAGATTTTAAAGGTTATAAAACTTGAAAAAAATTATTCATCGTATTCGAGTGGTTGATTAGGCTTAACATATAACAAATATACACATCAAGATGGCTTCACCACGAAACTCCAGGGGTAGAGTAAAACAACGTTCAGCAGTAACTCCTACTCGCTCATCACCTCGAATTATAAGAAAAGCAACATCTTATCCAAATGCTGTTAACAGACACTTTGTGGACAGTGTTCCCATTTTAGAGGTGACACTTCGATTCGATGAGGACGAATACGATGTTTGGCGCCGCCAAGACACCGATGAAGTAAATCTTTATTACATGCTACGCATTAAATATCCTCGAGACGAAGATGAGCAAGCCTGGCAACAGGAATTAGAAAAATTGAAAAACGAGGTAACCCAAGTAAGGGTTGTTGAAGAAGGATGGTTTGAAGGAGTATGGTAAGTTATTCTTTTACCAATTTTGGACGCGTGTCATGAAGAAATTAATGATTACGGAAATAAATTTTATTTATCTGTTTTTCTATTAAAATTTTTTTTCAAATAGGGTTCCTCTTGAAAAAGGTAAATATAGAATGCAGATACTGAGATTAGAAGAGATGATGACGTATTAAATTAATTAATTTTACATTGTAATAATTCTAGCAAAAGATATCGCTCGTAAATATAAAATATATGATCATGTCGCAGCGTTGCTTGAATCTGAAAATAGCTGGTTTGATACACCAAAATCGAAGCATTCACGTGTTAAGGTACAGTTATGCTATTTTCTCATTTTTGTGAGAAAAAATAATTTTAACTTATTTTATTGGTATTTAATGATTGATCCCATTTTTTCATATAGACCGAACAGACCGAAAGAAGTTCTAGCATATCTGATCATTCTAGTAATGCTACTAATGGAATCATTGTTAATGGTTCTAACAATCCTAACAAAGAAAACCCATTGACAAATGGTAGTAACAACAACAACAATAATAATAATAAAACAGAGAGTAATAGGAATGATCGTCAAATAGTTAGATCAATTAAAACTGAGAACAACACAGAGACCAGCAATAAGGGCGTCTTTATCCATGATACAAAAGAGACCAATGATTTTAAAGAAGCACGAGATCTTCCTACACGACTCAAAGAAGTGGAAGGAGAACGTGATCAATATATGGAAGAAGTAAAGAATCTAAAAAGGAAATTAAGTGAGACGGAGAATGTTAATTATAGCAGTAGTAACAAAAAACGGGCTGTTTGGACTGCTGTTGGAGCCGTCATAGGGGCCAGTGTGACGGCAGTTGCATTGAATAATATGGGCGTAGGCATAAACGAGATAGCAGGAGGACTTGCAAATTTGCAAGGGAAATTTTTTGGATGAAATAATAATAATAGTAATTGGGCGAGTTATATTCATCATATACGAAAATATTAATATTAATTATCACGATCGAAATTATAATGAACTTGGGAAAATTCGATTCATATCTTTTCGTTTATTGTATGTTCCTCATATTATATCCCTTTTTTCTTTTTCTTCCTTTATTTTCCGATCTTTGGGATTAGAATCTGTCGATTTTATTATAATCTTTAGTAGATATTAGATTCTTTGGGGGCAATTGATAGAGTTACAAGATACAATGTTATGCGATACAGAGAAAGAGTATTTATCATATCACTCACGCGCGCATTCATTCCACTCACTTTCTCACATGAAATCAGATATAATAGTTTAATAGTGATAAATCAACGGTATCCTCGTGAAATTTTGTAAATTTGTTATTTCTCTTCAATTCCCCCTTCTTTTTTTTTTTTTAATTATTCCTTCTTTTTATTTTGCATTTTCTCCTTTATTATTTTATTATATAATTATGATTATTATTGTTTATTATTATGATTGCCTTGTGTATTCTCTTCCTTGATAATTCAACTTTTCTTTTTTTCTATCAAAAATACATTAAGTACTATTATATATAATACATAAAAGTATATTTTTTATATATATCTATATCTATTTGTTTTGTTGCGATACGCTGCATATTCTCGCAGCATAACTTTGGATGATTCTTTCATTTATCACACACTTCTTTAATTGCATCTTAATTCTTCTTGTTTGTCCTCTCTATTAATGTAAATACCATGTATACGCGTAATTCTAATTTGTGATTTTGAATTTTTGGAATCTTATCGATTGGGTAATGATATAATCATCATTTTAGATGTATTGTCCAATCTCAAATCACAAAAAAAACGCCAATCGATCGGGGAACCGGAAAATTCCATTATTACATTTATCACAATAAAAAGCATACATCGGGGATAATGGATTAATCTGCTTATGTCAAGAATGTTTCAAGTTAAATTTAATCTGGCATAAGGTTTCATTACGGAATTCCCTTTAGAAAAAAAATTGTGTACGTTTACCGATTTCTTCTTGTCAATATAACGAAGTTTTCCACATAAGTATAACAAAAAAATTCAGACCAAAGTTAAGCATCTCTTTGAATAGTGAACGTTAGAAATACGAGTAATAAAAAATAACCATATCAGTATTTTTTTCCGCGTCTTGCATATTCATATATCGATATTGATATTGTTTATGCTAAACAGTAATTGTGCAAAAAATGCGGTGCTGTGCATTGTGCATTCATACGCACCAATAACCGGATGCATGGATTTTTTCTGTTGCATGTCTTAGACATGGCATTTTGAACTCTGCTGTATTGTTGACTTTACCGTTATTATTAATATCATAAGATTGCCAAAAAATTCTATTCAACATGTTAGCATGTTAGCTTTATTATAAATAGGTTTTGAGAAAAATCTTTATTCCATAACGTGCATCTAAAGTTGTTTCTGATTCTGATATATGGTCCAAGCTTTTTGAACATGAATAAGATAGATTCTTGTCTTTTGAAAATATTACTGTTTATTGGTTGATGACGAAATTTCCGATGCATAACTTTGCTTAAAGTTTATATACATATTTATATATATTTATTATTTTTGTTTATTTATTTATTTATTTACTTTATTTACTTTTTATTTCATATTTAGTTTTATATTTATGGGTTTATTTATGTTCTATAACTCGTGTTTCAGCATTTTTTCATAATAAGAAATTGTACTGTTTCGATTTTAAGTACCAACGAAATTTCGGCCAAATCTGCTGCCGGTCATTATTTTTGGTTATTGTATTTATTTGACAGATCTAACTGAAAATGGGTGTGCAGACGTTGTTTACGCGTAGATTGATTTGTTGAAAGAAAACGAAAACTTGAAAGAAAAAACAAATTTGAATATCTTTTTTTGATGTTTTACGGGTTTTACGAAATCAAAAAAAAACCGCTAACGAATGTCTCAAACTTCAAATCTGTCGCGGAATAATATGGTACACCTCTATTATGGGCACCAAATGATAATCGATCTATAACCAAATTTTTCATTAATCGATCAATGCTATCAAAATTAAGACGCGTGCCGAAAATGAAATTCTACTTATTGACACGTGATTTTTAATCCATTTGTGGCTTAATAAAGAAGGGTTGTCTGTCATCACCGTAATC